CCCCCACTCTATCTCTACTACTACTGCACCCTCCAACCTCCCACTCTATCTCTAACTACTATTACACCCTCTAACCACCCACTGTAAGTTTACTTCTACTACACCTTCCAACCTCCCACTTAAACTTATGCTACTTCTTAAAACAGTAGCACAGTGATTTTATACAGAAACATGACATGCACATGTACAATGATCTGTCATTTATCCACAGGATATGTCATGTATTGCAAAGTTAGTCTATATTTCATGCCCGTGTCCCCAATTCTTGTTAATTAAAATTACATTTCAAATTTACACATTTGTGTTCAGATCTCTTCTTTTTTTTAAATAATATAATTACAGTAGTCATCTGTTTTGTATTTACATCAGAGGCAATAACTGCTGAACAAATACCAAGAGTCCGTGGTTGGATTGCAGCGCTCTGCCCCACCGAGTGATGACCTGCTGAAAACTTTCTAAACTGTGAGGCCTTTTTCACACTCATCGACCAAACACAGTCCGCCGTGCATTGAAATAACCACTACAGTCTATGGCCACTTTCATACTTATTGACCAAGGCATCTCTACTACTACTATGTATATTTCACACCAGCACAGCGAAGTGCTGTTTACGGCATGAAACATACACTGGACTCTTATAGTGTGTTCATACAAGTCAACGATCAGCCATCACTGTCACAGTTCCCGCACACATTCCCTACCAAACACGTGGTTTCTCAGCACTGTTCTTATCGCGGAGGACGTAGACACAGACGTTCTGATCACATTAGTGCATGACAGACCTGTGCTTTAGGACAAAACTCAAGTTATTTGTTCGGCAATTATTGCCTCTTGTGTAAAAATACAAAAAAAACTGTTAGAGAAGTAGATCTAATCTAAACGTAAGTCGATGTCTGTGTACAGTATTTACATCATTGTGTAAAGGCCAAAGGCCAGTTGAGATCAACAATGGCCTGTTGGGATCAACTAGGGAGAACAGTACATTTAAAATATTTCCTTCGGGCTCTTCAGAAATCTGGACATTCCGTTAGTATGTGTCTAATGGTGAAATCTGTATCGCCTCCGACAACAGAAGGGTTTTTCATCATTCTGCAGGAGGTACCAAAGGGTTGGGGAGGAGCAACTTTAAATACAACTTCATCTCTTCTAGAGAGACCCGCAGGTTTTCTTGGGCCCAAAGTGGCCATGACACTGTGTCGTTTGTTGTTTTAATTATTTACTTCAGGGTTCTCCCTCAGACTGGATTACATGTACTTCTAACAGTTACTGTACAGTACAGAAATCTCCAAGTAGCCTACATCATCACAACTGAACAATAACTGTACAAATAAATATTTGCTCACATGCAAGTAGAGTTTGGGCGGCTGGAGGGTGCAGACTTATAGTAGTAGTAGAGTTTGAGTGGGCGGTCGGAGAATGCTGCCCCCCCCTCCCCCTCTGCTAACTTATGCAGTAGCAGTAGTAAACTGTAGAGTTTGAGCGGGTGGTCGGAGGTTCATTCATAACTGCTTCAGATTACAATGTAAATATTCAGCAAGTTATAGTCTTCACCATGTCGCTGCTGTCTGATGTTCCGTGGAATGTCCAGAGAACTGTTTGTTACGGTAACTTCTCCTCCGCTGACACTGTCTGTTCCTCTCTTCTGTCAGTGGCCAATGTGGAGGCTGCAACAGGATAAAGTCAACACATCAATATTGTGACTAAGTTTTTGAGTTTTGAGTTTTACGCCACATGCAACACGATTAGATCATATAGGTGCTGAAGATTAAAGGTGTTACAACAGAGTATCAAACATTAAAAAGAAGGAGGACAAATCGGCACGATCTATGTTTGATAGGAAGGAAAGAGCAAACCACCCACCAACCACCCGCATTGTGACTGTACTTAACCCTTTCGGGACACAGCCCTGAAAGATCGGAACCATAACTAGTTATTTCTGTGGGTTTTACATCTCATCCTTAATTAGTCACTTTTAATGACAAGTGGGCCAACCCAGATTTCAGGGCTTTCCAGAAATCTTGACCCACACCAAAATTGGGCATTGCCCTACCTATAGGAGAAGTTTGGTTTCATAGGTGTGTATATTTGTTTGGTTATAGAGAAAACTCCTTGTCTTTTAAAGAAACTGAATAAGGATCCAAAAACTTTACCTTCGATATTCTCAAGACACCATTTTTCGGGATAGCCCCCTTGTGCTTAAAAGGACCAATTAACACCATTCATTTATTACTCTAAGTTCTTATTTCCCACTTGTTTCCACGGTACCGTATTTGTTTTTCTACTTTACACATTTCCTCACATGACAAGACAGCAAGTTATTACTTTTGGTCTCTGCCTTCCTATTTTTCTCTTTACAATCACTAAGGTGGGTGGGTGGTGGGTGCTCTGGTGTGGTATGTTCCTTTTTTGCTACCAAACATCGATCGTCTTTATCTCCCCTCCTTTTTTTTGTGTTTGTTACTCTTGTAATACCTCTTTGGCCCTTATATGACCTAAATTGTGTTGCAAGTGCCGTAAAACATTTACTAAAACATACAATCACTAAATAAAGTGAAGAAAATCTGCTACTGTCCATGACATCCTCCAGCCACCCACAGTCACAGAGTGCACCTAACCTTTATAATGTCTACTGCCACTGCGACCAAGACAAATTTCTCCCTGCGAGATGAATAAAGATTGTCATTGTCAACTGACGCAAGTGTAAAATAGTGACACACGGGATAGAAAAATCCACGCACTCGACTTCGGGTGAACTACATTACCTAGCACAAGCACCCAACCAAAAATACTACCACAGTAATACCAAAGATTCTCCACTAGTGGACAGGGTTGGGTTGATTTAAATCATGTTGTTTTTAAAAATTTAAATCAACTTGATTTTTTAAATAAAAATCAGTGATTTAAATCACTTTTTTTTTAAAATTGTTTTTATTCTGTTTTTACATATTTAAACATTCAGAATGCCTTTCTTTGGTTTTATAAAACAAATATAAGGTTAAGTAGACTAATATAATCATGCTTAAAAGTCTGCTTTTCCCTCCTGTCACTGTAAAATTTATATAATACAGTATTCAATTTACTTATTTTTCGTAATTGAAAATAGCATTAAAAAAAAAAAAAAAAGCGCACACACACACACACACACACCCACACACAGACTAAGGAAATGTCTAGATCTATTAACTGTAAACTTAATAATTAATGAATGTCAGATCAAATCAATTGTGACTGAGGAGAATACAAACATTAACAAATAAATCACAAACAATGTAACAAAAATAATAATTTAGATATTATGGCAAGGAACAAAATGGCAACTGAAGGAATTTTGAAAGTAAGTCACTTTCATACAATATTAAGAATTAAGAGTATTACAATAACCAACAATTTAAATCATGATGAAATTATTCATTGAGTTGTTTGGGGTTGAAGGTTTTGAAAAGAAACACAATTTACTTTTTTTTCATAATTGAAATGAGCAGTTTCTTTTTCTTTTAGACAAACACAAGCACGCACACACACACACACACACGCACACACACACACATATATACACACAATAATAAAATGCAAGTATATATATGCATAATTACCCCCTTCCTTTAAGACTAGCATTTTCTTCATTTTTTGTCTATTGCCATGAATAATTCACTGATATAGCAGATTAAGGTTTTCTTTGGCAGCTGCTTAAATTAATCATTAGTTAAAATAAATATAGACAATGAATTTTGCACTAAAAGAACATAGATCTACTTTTAGCCACTAAACATTCAAAACTGTGGACATTTTTTTGGTAATAACATTTTTTTAAACAATCTGATTTAAATCTAAAAAATCGATTTTTTACAGTTCTATTTAAAAATTAAAAAATAACTAACCCTGCTAGTGGACAATTTTTGGTAACTGACCTACTTCGTGTACTGTACCACTCTACTCAACTCTCATCCAACGAAGCAAGGGGAATCTAAATCTAAGCAACCATTACAATTTGTCCCTTCAAGGGGACGCAACCAATAAATATTTTATTGTTACATTAGTTATTACGGAGTTATGTTTCCTGAACTTATCTTTCTCCAACAGCTATGACAATGAGCGTGGTGACGAACGAAGGCAATTTTTGTTGTTGTTGATGTTGTTGTTGTTGTGGGCTATTGTTTTTGTTTGTTGTGAGCGACAGAGAGGGGGGGGGGTGTGAGTGGAAAGAAGACGGGATTACAGAAAGACAAATCGACATATCTACACAAAAAGGGACTGGGAAAACAAGGAGTGCTGATGGGCTAGGGGTCAAGGGTGATGGTGGACAGAAGATTCTTTAGCTACAGTGCCTTGATTGAAAGAAAACAACAAACAAACAACAACAACAAAAAATCTCTCACCACCCAGGAAGAGCCAAAGATTGGAGATGTTGCTAGAGAACACCTTACATGATTTGAACAAAGAAAAAGAGGAGAGATGAAGAGACAAGGACAAGGATAACAGATGTTTGATTTTGATTGGAAAGAAAACCAAAATCACACACATGGGTGAGCCCAGAGGGTGTAGGGGGGGGGGGGAACAAACATATATACCGGTATAAAGAGCATGCACACGTGAGGAGAGACGAAAGAGGAAAGATGCTACACGTACCACAAAGATAAACAGTAGAGATGAGTACAGAACAAGATGGTTGGCTTTTGTTAGAGTAAAGAGAGACACATTGACACAAGAACGGTCGTTTAGTGACGGGAACAACTTTAAGTTTGAGCAAGAGTTTTACGGTATTTTCAACACAAATAGGTCATGTAAGTGCCAAAGAATAGAAATGTTATTAGAGAGGAACATACAAAGAAGACGAGAGATTTGGATGAACGAACCACGCCAAAAACCCCCACAAAAAACAAAACAAAAACAAGACGGACAAATGCAAACAACAGAGAAAAGAGAGACACATCCTCATCAGCAAAGATTGGTAAGTCACAATGAGGAAATAAAACATGCATACAAAGATGAAGAGAAAGGAGAAGATTTTATAAAAGTATAAAAACAAGTACGTACATGTAGAAGACACACAGACACACAGACACACACACACACACACACACACACACACAATCACACACAAGGAAACATATGGTCGCTTTTAAGCACAAGGGGGCTATCCTAAAAAAATGCTGTTTTGAGAAAATCGAAGTTAAAGTTTTTGCCCCTTATTCAGTTTCTTTTTAAAACGAGAGTTTTCTCTATTAACCAAACAAATACACAAACCAATGGAACCAAACTTCCCCTGTAGGAAGGGCATACCCACTTCTGGTGTACGTCAAGATTTCTGGAAACTCCCGAAATCAGGGTTAGCCTGCTTGTCCTTAAAAGCGACTATTACACAAACAATAGAGTAATGAGAGACACATCAACATTAACAAAAATGAATAGACATGGAATAAAACATGCAGGAAAAGATGGACAGAAGGAGAGAAGAATGTATAAAAGTTCAAAAATAAAATCAAGAACGTACTCAGTCAGTCATTCCTCTGTCCCAGCTTCAGTCCATCCTTGAGCTCACCCCTCCCCTCGTTCAAAGTCGATGACCGTTGCGTGGTCTCATGGCCACCAGACAGTGAGTGGTCAGTCTAGTCATCTCTCTCTATGGTTGCTCAGAGAGAGACAGAGAGTCCATCCTGAGTTTTTGCACAGACCTGCAAGTAGACACAATAATGGTCTTTTAGTTTGGGGGTGGATAAATGCAGGCTGATCCTAAAAAGAACTACAACTTATTTTGTAATTTATATTTTGGTCCACACTGACGTTTTGCGTTTCAAATTTGAACACAATATTTTTGACCCCCCCCCCCCCCTCAAAAGCAAAAAAACCCCCCAAAAAACAACCCCAACCCAGCAGGAGAGCACTAGGGAGTCATGACCTGAATGTGGCCCGGCCCCCTTAGAGTATCAGGAAGTTAGGGCCCAAACACTTGCTAGAGGGAGGTTGTCCCTCTAACAATCTCCTGTTGTCTGCTCGCCCCACCAAGTTTTCTCCCACATCACGTAGAAGTAGAGCAAAGTAATTTTACAATAATTAATATTCACATTTTTGTATACACCCTCTTCAGTACTATTAGATCTTGTTTTATTTGCAGAGGTGACCCATTAAATAAAGTATGAGTTTTACTGAACCATGGGTTGTCATAGATTACTTTTGCTGAACTATGGGTTGTCAAAGACATTTTTTAGAAGATCGCGTAAACGCAACACCAGTTTTGGAAATCAGCTGTCAGTGGCTGTGGATAGTTTGCTTACATAAATTACATGACAATAATAAAGAAAATGGGTTGGTACATAATCAGTCCCCGAGATCTGGTTTACACTTACACACCGAGGTGGGTGGTTGGTCGGGTGCTCTAGTGTGGTTTGCTCCTTCTTTCCCATCAAACATCTGTCATCCTTATCTCCCCTCCTTCTTTTTAGTGCATGTTACTCTCTTGTAACACATAATCTATTCTTCTGCACTTATATGACCTTATTGTGTTGCACGTGCCGTAAAACTCTTTCTAAAACTAAAACTTACACATCGAATCAGTGCAAGAGCTTTTTTCCCCTGGCTTGAGAGCTAAACCTAGATATAACAGTTGCAGACCCAAACTGTATTAGGCTAGCAAAAATTTTACATTTCTAGGTATTTAGCCATTTGTGTCATGACGTGGTGGAATCAGGCGCTCGTCAATTTTTGGGCATGTGGAGTTATTGGTATCTGCCTAAAGATTGTTCTTTTTTCTTACTTTTGACTAAAAAAATATCCATTTATCTAGGACATAAGTCAAGATATTAGCGATTGAAGGAGATGGGGTCACCCGGTTTCTGGGGTAAAATTAGCCTGAAAAAAGAAGCCAAAGTTGAGTTTTTCCTTAGCTTGAGAGTCCGTGGAAACTGGAAATTTACATTTTTTGTTCCTTGAATCAATGTTTTTCAGAAAAACTCACATAGAAATGTTTTCTTTAAAGCACATGAAAGGTGTTGAGCCAAAGAACAAAAATTCTATACAAATTCACAAACGTGTGGGAAAATTCCAATTTCTTCACTTTGATTATTTTGACTAGCGCCCGATTTCACCATGCTGCCTAACATTTACATGAAATATCAGTTTATGAATTTTTCATTTTTGCCTGAAAAATAATACATTTTTGTTATACATATATTTTGTAAATGCTATTTTCATGTGGGGAGGTTCTCAAATGAGATTACATTTATGCACATTTGCAATTAAAAGAAGAGATTAACAAACTTTCTGCCAGGCTTTGTTTGAAGGCAGTGGAACTCGGATTCAACAAAGCCGTCGGGCCTGACTTTCCATTTCTTGAAAACAATTCACTTGCGAGGGTTTTAGTTTTAGTGGCCATTTGTGTGTTTTGCAGCAAAAATTAAGGCAGTTTAGCCCCCAAAACAGTGCATCTGAAAGCCGGTCTGAAAGAAAAAAATCTACCTTTTTTCCTAGACCTAGTATCATTCAATAATTGGAGATGAATTTATAGGAATCTGAACATTTATGATTTTTATATCTTTGAAAATGCTGAGGCGGCTGAGTTGTACATTGGTCCTATAGCTTGTTCACTTTCGTCTGACCGCTGTTAAAACAAGGTAAACTGAAACCGCTCTGTTCATTCTTCCCCAATCTTTGTACACGACGTTAGATGACCAACAAAATATAAGGTAATCTCAAACTAATGTTCATTCATAAAGGTAATCTCAAACTAATGTTCATTCATAAAAGTAATCTCAAACTAATGTTCTGACACAAATTCTTTGACGTTAGCTTAAATCAAGAATAAAAATAACAGGTGATTTACAGCATACACATGAAATATTAAAAAGCTGATAGATTTTCCTCAACACCACACTTTAACGTACGCCTAGGAAGCACAATTCAAGAGATGTTTGTTTGTTTTAGTGTAAGGTTTTACGGTGCTCACAACTGCATAAAGTCATAAGAGCACCAAGGGGTGGATGTCAACAGAGAAGTCCAAGCGGGGAATCAGGCTTACTCTGCTCACCTCTCTAGCCTCAACACCACAAAGTCTGCTTCAACTATCAAGGCACCCCAGAAATAGCAGTTCACAAGAGTTTAACAAACATACAAAAGAAGTAGAGGAAAATGACGATAGTATGGATGAGGAAAGAAAAAGCAGCAGTTCCCCCTATGTTGTTCCGGCACAGTATGATGAGCATAACATTGATAAACCAGCCCATTTATAATTCTACCGTGCATAAGAACATGTTAATATCCCCCCTGTGGGAATGGCCTAAAGACACTTCAGTCAGTAGTACTGCCCTGATGGGGGGGGGGGAATTCAAGAGATGGGGTGAGTAATTTTCGAGACTTACATAGAGCACGTGGAGACGTCTAGACAACCAGGGGAAGAACTCTACAAGGTTACACTGAAATGTAGGGGCAGGGTGGTGTCGCTGTCTCAAAATGAGCAATTTGAAGGCTAGGTTACTACTGAAAGTCATTTATTTCGGTGATCCTGTGCATGTATCCAAAGAAAGGTTTCGAATAGAATAGGGCCCAAAAAGAAAAACTTTTCTATTACTGAATCAAGATTTTTAAAAAATATAATATTGTTTGGTCGCTGGCCTGCAGAAGTGCCACGCAAAGTTACGTGAGCAATGAGTATAGAGGTAAATTAATAATTGACTTAGAGTCTTTTTAATGCAGACAGACAAAAGTGAGCAAGCTGTGTAACATCTGTGTAGGTGTAGGCCTGGAAGGACGACGGCCCTACATACAGGGCACCAGCCAGGCTACCCGAGAAGCGTGATGGCCCTGTATATATAGGGCCAACCTACTTGGACCAGGAAGAGCGCAGGCCCTAGATATAAAGAGCATATAGGCCCAACCGTCTGTAATGGAACGATTTCAGCGTTCCTTATGAGGTAAATGACGTAAATTGCAGGGCAAAGTTATATAGTGTCTTATGAGTTTGCTTCCAGGGTTTATAAAATTTACTAAGTATTATTATGTATATTTAGTTATATAGTCACATTCATTGTTTGGCAACTGCTGCATTGGAAAGCTCGCCAGGGGTGAGGAGGAACGTGGGGATTCAGAACACGCCAACAGTATAAATAGTACTGGCCTGGATATATTATATATATCTTCACAACACGCTGAATTAGTCAGTAAATTAATATAGGCACATTATATTTTTATATTTTCCCACCAAACAAGAAGTGTAGACGTCTATATGACATGCAGCACCACTCACCACAGCCAGAGGAAGGGCTTCTGTAACGAGCGACCACTATAAAATCTAGATTTACTCAATGGCCATCAAAATCATAACAGAAGGCATAAGCCACTGTAGAAACACTACCAAGGCCTAGTCATGACAAAATTATTGTGGCTTGCGCATTGTTACCTAAATCTAGGTCAAGTTCAAAGTTTTGAATCCGAGTCGAGGATTAGGCAGACATTCGCCTTAGCGCGGCTTTATCTACTTCTCTGCTGTTTGGGAGCGATGGTTTGCCAGGGGTTTTCTTTGGTTCGCAGTTGGGAAAAGGGGGAAGCTGGGAGTGGGAAGGATCATAATTTCTGTCATTTTTGTGGGATTATGAGTCAGTGATTTAGTGTGAGTATGATTAGGCGCTAGGTTTTCTTCTTTTTTGGGGGGGGGGGGGGGGGGAAGGGTAAGATTTAGGGTATCTATGGATAGAGGCTTAGATTATAGAGGCTCAGTTACATCTTTAGGTTAGGAAATAGGAATAGGCCTAGAAGTCTAGATGTAGGGCGGTGCTTTTTCCGTAGTTCCCACCCCCCTTATTTGAGCCTATATCTAGATCTTGATCTAGATTCTCTATTATCTAGGCTAGGTCTACGTTTGATGTGTGGCGAGCAGACATCAAACCTAACAACTGCAAAACATTAAATTATCATATCGGGGGGGGGGGCAAAACATTAAATTATGGTAAAATTCAGGGGGGCAAACCCCCCACCGTATTTTTATTAGGTCAGGGGCGCAAGCCCCCCTACTCTTGGGGCCATAACCGGCAAATACAATTGCGGGGTGGGAACTACAGAAAAAGTGCCTCTAGACTCTTCTAGGTTCTAGTTCTAGGCTCTAGATCTAGCTAGTGTAGCATGGCGTGTATAGATTTTCTAAATAATCTACCTTCTCAGGCGTCCAGTCCAGGGTACACCTTGCTGATTTCTTTCAGGAAACGCACAAATTTACTTTTGGTGTCGTCGTTGTTCGGTGCCAAATGTATTCGGCCAGGTGGGGAGCCAAGTGCTGCTTCTTGAATTTGAAGTTCTTCTGCACGCCCGAGCCCGCCGAGGAGCGCACTGACTCGCAAACTCCGCTTCACTGCCCGATTCAACTGTCAGGTTTTGTGTAGGCCTTCCCACTGCCACTGACCATGTACCGTCGACATTTGACGTGATTTGATAATGTCATACAAAAACATCATCGAAATTTACTTTTTCTTCTGTATCACAAATTGCAATGAAGTCAGACGTTACCTTGCGCTTTGCACGCTTTTGTTTTTGTATTCACCGGGATGACATTTTTGGGTTTTGGGTTTCAGTTTAGCAGTTCAAATATAACCAAGGAATTCGTGATCGTTGAATTTCGCAAACAAACTTGGTTGAGATAATATTGATCTAGATATCTAGATCTAGATTTTCTATACATGTTCGCCATGTTCAAATCTATACTCACAGTCAAAAGAAAAAAATAATAATAGACGTAACAAACCAGCCTTTCGCTCCTGTCTTTTTACTTGGTACTGAAGGTCGATGTTTCAATTCGAATAACTAGATTTTTACAATAGTATTAGATCTCGTTAATTATTTTTACAGTGACCAACTAAAGTATGAGTTGTCCACTATCTTGCCTCTACCCCCCTTCCCCCGCCCCGAACCATTTTATCTCTATCT